ATTCTGTCTCAAAAAAAAAAAAAAGGGGAAATGGCAACATTAATTCTGCCATTGTCTTATGCTGACCACTGCGCTGCAGTTAAAATGAGGTTGTTCTTTATGAACCATAGGTGTAGCTTCAGGACATTCTACTGAGGAAGAAAGCAAGTAGTGGATCAATACAGCATAACAGGTTGTGGGTCCATGTTTTTAGTGTGATACATCTGCATGCTTTTTATAAAGGAGACAATGCTAAATTAAAAACTGCAGTTCAGAAACTTCTACAGATACATATGTGTGCAAATGCATATCTGTAATACATATCTACACATATGTATACACACAAGTGCACACATGCACACACATGTCTCACTGGTAATAGGGTTGCTTTTGAGGAGAAGGCAAAGAACTACAAGGAGAAATGGACTGGACTCTTACCTATAATGTTTTTAATTTTTTAACAAGGAAATGTATTTCTTGTGTAAATAAAATAAAAGTAAAGCAAAAATATACTTTAAATGCACCCAGGATATGAGTAAATTGTCCATCACTGGACACAGGCTGCCCCCAGGGCGGGGTGTAACTTGGGAGAGGCAGTTCCCTTCATGTTTTGCTGAGGGTCACTCCTTGGAAGGATTCAGCCTCCCAGCAGGGGGAACAATAAGGAACAACAGGATAAATTTACTTATATCCTGTTTTTTTTTTTTTTTTTAAGCTTACAAAAGAAGAAGAAAATTAGACAAAGGAAAGAAGAAATTGAAAAAGTATGTAAGCATCAGATTTTGCTCTCAATCCCATGGCAGCCAGAGCAAAAAGGGGGCACACTGTAAATTATGTTACTTTTCCTTGTAAAATGGAGGGTGCATCCACTCTCTTTTCGGAGAGGAAGTTTTTATACTGAAACCATATTTTTAAAAAAATGATACATGTGCAGCTTTACATAGGAGGTCACACGTCCTCCACCACCATTTTAAGCATGACTGTTCCTATCTAAGTTTAATGTCCTACTTTCTCTTCCTTACTGCTTCCGTACCCTCTCCCCTGCCCGCTTCTCCCGCCTCATCTTGTGTCACTCTCCTCCTTGTGTGCTATGCTCCAACCACATGGGCCACCTTCTCGCTGGTCCTTCAGCAAGCTCAGCCTGCTCCCATGCCAGGAAGGAGTGGTGGATGTTGTGTGTGCCCAGACTGCCCTGGGGCACTGAGACACTGTTCCCCCTGCTGGGAGGCTGAATCCTTCCAAGGAGTGATCCTCAGCAAAACATGAAGGGAACTGCCTCTCCCAAGTTACACCCCACCCTGGGGGCAGCCTATATCCAGTGATGCACAATGGGGCTGGGGATAAAGGCCTGGATCTGTGGCTTTGATTCAGGTCATCTTTAATGGGCCGTCCCCACCTCAGAACTCCCTGTAGGATTGGCTGAAGCCTCTGTGATAACCTCTTCACTGCCCAACACCCCCTCTGTCTATCCAGCATCCCTCACACTCCCATGGGTGTGGAGGCTGGGCACATGCCCTAATAAACCACCTGTATGCACAACTCTGCTCAATCTGGAGAGGCCACCTACAACAGTGGGGCCTTTGTAGAAGCTGTTCTCTCCACCTGGAACATTCCCCTGTCCCTGGTTTTCACACTGTCATGGTGTCATACATCTATCCACGGAAATGTCACCTTCTCAGAGAAACTTGCCCTTACTGCTCAACCTGAAATAGCCTCTCAGACACTACCCTATTAGCCAAGTTGAAGTCTCTGCACAGCGCTTCTCACTATCTAATACATTACTTGTTTATCTGTCAATCATGAGTAATTTTTAAAAATAGAGACAGGGTCTTGCTCTGTCACCCAGGCTCGAGTAAAGTGGCACAATCAGTCTGCTACAGTCTTGAACTCCCAGGCTCAAGCCATACTCCTGTCTCAGCCTCCAGAGTAGGTAAAACTACAGGTTTATGCCACCATGCCCAGCTAAGATTTTTGTTTTTTGCAGAGACAGGGTCTCACTATGTTGCCCAGGCTAGTCTTGAGCTCCTGGCTTCAAGTGATCCTCCCACCTCAGCCTCTCAAAGTGCTTGGATTACAGGCGTAAACTAATGCGCCCTGAGTGTCATTAGTTTAACTATATCTATATATATTTCAGCTGGGCATGGTGGCTCACACCTGTAATTCCAACACTTTGAGAGGTTGAGGCAGGTGGATCACATGAGGTCCGGAGTTCGATACCAGCCTGACCAACATGGAGAAACTCTGTCTCTACGAAAAATACAATATTAGCTGGGTGTGGTGATGCATGTCTGTAATCCCAGCTACTTGGGAGGCTGAGGCAGGAGAATCACTTGAACCCAGGAGGCAGACGTTGCGGTGAGCCGAGATCACACCACTGCACTCCAGCCTGGGCAACAAGAGCAAAACTCTGTCTCAAAAAAAAAAAAATCTCTCTCTCTCTCTCTCTATCTATCTATCTGCCTACCTACCTACCTACCTATATCTATATCTATAGATGTAGATATAGATATTTCCCCTATTTCCCCCATCATTGGCCCTTTTCTTCGTCTACCTTATCCACCGTTGCATTTCCAGAGCCTAGAACAAGGACCTAGCAAATACCAGGTGCTCAGTAAACATTTCTTGAATTAGTTAATGACTGAAATTCTAAAACATATAAAGATAATTAGAGGAAACGTTAATGTTCTTTAAACAACTTGATGGCTTTTGATAAGAATAAGGCTAAAATGTGCAAATTCCCAAATTTGGTTTGGCTTTGAAAATAGACGTATCATTAAAAACAGTTCACTGACCTTGTGACTTGGAGAGTAAAATTTCTTCTGGAATGATCTATGTGACCCTTTATTTAGAAGAACAGATATTTTGTGCAGAATTAGGTAGCATAGAAGGAGATGTGGCTGTGCCTATGCCAGGGAGGAGACGGGGCCTGCTCCAGGCTGTCCTTGTGGGTCTCAGAAGGAAGGTGTGAGCTGAGGGATCGACTGAACCCCCACCCCACGCCAGATGCTGTTCAAGCACCTTCTATGGAACAACTGATTTCATCTTCATGACTACCCTATGAGCTAGACACTATTGCTATCCCCATTTTATACGTGAGTAGACTGAGGCACAGAGACGTTAAGGACCTTGCCCAAGATTTCACAGCTTGTAAGTGGCAGAGCTGGGAGTTAAGCCATGACAGCTTGATTTCAGAGACTACACCATTTACAGACTCACTGTTGCCAGGCAGATGTCCTGCAACCACAGAAAAATAGACATGAACAAGGTGATTTTCTTCTAGTTCCTTTCAAATTTTTTACTCTGAAACATATGACATGTTCAGGTTATTAAAGCAAGAATGTCTGTTGGCTGAGTGTGGTAGCTTACACCTGTAATCCCACCACTTTGAGAGGCCGAGGCAGGAGGGTCACCTGAGGTCAGGAGTTCAAGCCTAGCCAACGTGGTGAAACCGCATCTCTACAAAAAGCACAAAAATTAACCAGGCGTGTTGGCGGGTGCCTGTGATCCCGGCCAGTTGGGAGGCTGAGGTAAGAGGATCACTTGAACCCGGAGGGTGGAGGTTGCAGTGAGCCAAAATCACGCCATAGGACTCCAGCCTGGGCAACAGAGTGAGACTCCACCTCAAAAAAAAAAAAAAAGTCTGTCAATTCCGTGCATTTCTAAAAACTCTCACTCCCAAAGTCCTTTACATCGATGCCTCATTCGATGTCTTGGCACTATGGGAACTTGCGTGGCTGTAATACTTAGGGAAGGGTGAAGGGGGAGATTTGATCTGAGAAGTAAAGTCGAATTTTAAATAAAGCAAAAAGCAGGAAATGCAATGAGGAAAAGGTCTATAGGAACAAATGATGGAAAGAAGCCAAAAGGCTGGAAATAGAGCTCTTGAAAACAACCTTTGCTATTCTTGAAGCAAAACAAGCTGACTGCTGAGGCTCTTGTTAGAGAAGATTGAGTTACGCTCCTGAGTGCTTTCTGCCAGTGTTGTTTTCCTCTCACCTCTGGATGGATTAGACTAGAGAATCTAATATGATTTGCTCATTAAAGCCCATCTGCTTCCTTTTCTGATCTGCCCTCTCTTCTCTACCCTTCCTAATGTTTCTTTTCCTTTCTTCCCAAGCATGAGCTTTGCAGTTAAAGAGACCCAGCCAGGTTCCTGCCTCTGCCACTGATTGGCTGTGTGCCTATTCAGGCAAATGATTTAACTGGTTCAGCTTTATTTTCCTCATCAGTTAAACGGGCACAACAATAGCAACTCCACAGAATTGTGAGAATGAAATGAGGCATATATATAAAGTGCCTAGCATGGAGGGGTGCATATAATGCACCCCTTCCTTTCTTTTCCCCATTTCTCTTTCCTTCCCCTTCATTCCTAATTCTTTCATATTTGCTGGGCTGCACTGCTAGGGGAATAATTGCCTTCAATGGCCAAGATTCTCCATGGGGTGAATCTCATAGAGAGCTCTAGTGTTCAAAGCTACAACATAATTTCCAAATAAAGCTTTTAGAGGAGAATTTATCTGTAAATATCAAACAACAAAGGCAACCACTTAAACATCATTAAATATTTCATCAAGCCCAGGAATGCTGAATATTAAAGAGAAAGCCATTCTAGAAGATTACTCTTGTTAGTGTTATTAATGTTAAAATAATTATATATAGTTGCAATTAATTATGAATTAAGGGTTCATTGGTAAGAGTCAACAGACATCTGTTTCTATTATAAATTGTAATAATGGATTCTATTAAAATCAATTAATAACACCATGGGGAATCCAGTCCTTGCCAGTGTTTGGATAACAGAAAAAACATCTACCCGAAAATAAAATACGAAAATTCCAATCCCCAGGCTAGATCTAAGGCTAGTGGAGCATTTTACATATACTGCAAATTAAATAGATTTCATGTTGGTTGTGGGATGTCAAGTTATGACAATGTTAAAATATCCAAGTGATATCCTATCCTATAGGTAAGAAGATATGAGCATCCTCTGAAGAGAGAACTTGCTAAAAATGGAAACTTACCATTGCAGAGTAGCAGGAGTGGAGTGGGGCTTGGATGCTCTATTATTTTCTTTTTCCTCATCTGTTAAAGGAAAGAAAAAGACGCTAACTTCAGTAGGAAACAGTAGGAAAAAGTAAAAGTCCTGTCGACTCTCCCAAGTTTCAAAAGACTATGTTTCTCTGAAATGTTGATGCTTTGAAACAATATTTTGGCTTTTCCAACATGTTAGACTCATCATACTTTAATACAAAAAAAAGCAAAATTGACTTTTATTTTAAAACTCTTATGTCAATTTTGTTTTTATTTGACACAATGTGTTAGAGTTTGAAGAGCATTTCCCTTTATCACTGACCAATGTGATCACATTCATCCACTCAGTATTTTCGTAACTGAAGCAGGACAGACTACAATTTCAACCCTAAAAACATAGGGACCTCACTCACTGCTATGGACTGAATATTTGTGTCCCCCACAGAATTTATGTGTTGAAACCTAATCACCAAGATGATGATGATATTTGAAGGTGGGGCCTTTAGGAAGTGATCAGTCATGAGTCTTATGAACGAAATTAATGTCTTTATGAAAGAGATCCCAGAGAGCTTCCTCATACCCATTTCTCCCCTCTGAGAAGACAGAGAGAAGATAGTGAGAAGATAGCCATCTATGAACCAGGAAGTGGGCCCTCACCACACCCAAATCTGCTATTGCCTTGATCTTGGACTTCCCAGCCTCCAGAACTGGGAAAATAAATCTCTGTTAATTAATAAATCTTTGCGAATAAACAATAGAGAAATAAATCTCTGTTGTTCATAACCCACCCAGTTTATGGTATTTTGTTATGAAAACCTGAACAGACTAAACTCTTCACCATTTGTTCTTTGTAACCCCAATGAAGCAGAGCCTTAATGTAGGATAGGGAAAGTGTAAGTGTTCAGGAGAAGAATCGGGTTAGCAATGCAATGGAGCAGGGTTTAGCACATATTTTCTGTAAAGGACCTGATAGTAAATATTTTAGGGTTTGTGGACCAATAGTAAAAATCAAGAATATTGTATAGAATTTATATGACGGAAGAGAAAACAAGTTTCCATGAAATATTTATTGATAAAATTCAATGTAAGCCCAGGCACAGTGACTCACACCTGTAATCCCAGCACTTTGGGAGGCCAAGGTGAGTGGATCAGTTGAGGTCAGGAGTTCAAGACCAGCCTGGCCAACATGGTGAAACTCTGTCTCTACTAAAAATACAAAAATTAGCCAGGCATGGTGGCGCACACTTGTAATCTCAGCTACTCAAGAGACTGAGGCAGGAAAATCACTTGAACCTGGGAGGCAGAGGTTGCAGAGAGCCAAGATCGTGCCACTGCACTCCAGTCTGGGCAACAGAGCAAGAATCCAAAAAAAAAAAAAAAAAAATCCAATGTAATAGTAATAATTGAATATAATTTTTGTAATACATATCCATTAATGAGAAGAATTAAATTAATTTTGGGGGTGTAGGTAACATTCTTCTAATTGGGATTAGAATTAATGTTGCCTATTATTAAATAGATTGCAAAAGTTGATCTGTAAAGACCATTTTTAGCTTGCAGCCCCACAAGCATCAGGCCAGATTTGGCTCACATGACCCTGATTTGCTGAGCCCTGCAATACCACAGTCTGAACAACAGATTAATTTTTAGCATATCTAAAAAGAATTTGTCACAATTTCATCATGGATTTACTGAGAAACACATATAATCAGTCTCTTATCCAATTCCTAATAAAGATTATTGATAGGAACAGTCAACATAAAATTCCTTGATTCACAAAATTTGGCCCAAGATAATTAGGACAAATAAGAGTCTCAAGAAGAAAACTAATAATGTCAAAGCCTACAAATATTATCAATAAAATTTAATATAGACATTAAAAAGATAAATGAAATCAATCTGTGGCATAAAATTTATATGGAAAAGAATTGGTATCTATGAAAACAGTTTAAGTAAAACAAAAATGAAAATGGAAAAAAATGAAAATGTCATATGTACAGAAAAATTTTTCTAAAATTAGCTCATGAAAGCTGAATCCAGAAAATATCTTATTGATGAAAATGTATCAATATTGGTGTAATTCTGATTTAAATGTCTACTTATAAGCACTGTGGCAGATATTGTTGTTGCTTAATCAAAACCTACATGTACCCACCTTCTTCCTTATATGTAGAAGCCCAGTTTAGAGAGGATTGTGTGTTCAAGGAGAGTGACCCCCTTTCAAATCCTAGAAAGGTGAATGTTGATTCATTTACGACAATCATGATAATTAATTTTATGTCATCTAGCCACTGATTGGATTAGGTGGAGCATGTAACATGATGTAGGCTGATCACATTTCAGAAGACGCTCTCTCTCAGGGCTTCTGGGAAAAGTATTTTTCCCTAATAAAATGAAGGAGTGAGAGATTCTCGCCTGTTCTACTTTTGAATGTGGCTTTGAGATGACACAATAACTAGATTAAAGCAGCAAACTTGGGATGGGGAAAAACACAATCTGAGGACAAAGTCAACACCTAGGAAGGCAGAGAAAAAAAGGGAAAGCTTGGGGGCTCTGATTATCACGTGGTGCCTCTGATGAACCAACCCAAACAATGGCTGCCTCCTGTTCTATGAGACAGCACAGTTTCTTCGGTTGATAAAACTTCCTTTCATTGGGTATTCTCTTCCCTGCCACTAAAACTATTCTAACTGATGGTTAGAACCCGAACCACACTAATGCTAAATGTTCTCAGGAACGGAATGTAAAATACATCATAGACTCAACACCTTGGTTCATGATGCTTTGTCAACCTGGAGTTCTTCTAAATAGATGTTTCTCATCCCTTCCAGCCTGGAATAAATGCCACCAACTCTTTGAAGCTTTCCTTGATACTCTCTTAGTTAGGAATCAATCATTGATCCTAACTCTGTGCTTCTATAACACATTATTCACCTCTTAGCTGTCCTGTGTAGCCACCTGGATCACTATTTCTTTTCGTTTTTTTTTTTTTTTTGAGATGGAGTTTTGCTCTTGTCGCCCAGGCTGGAGTGCAATGGCACAATCTCAGCTTACTGCAACCTCCACCTCCCAGGTTCAGATGATTCTTCTACCTCAGCCCTCCGAGTAGCTGGGATAACAGGTGCCCATTACCACGCCCAGCTAATTTTTGTATTTTTTAGTAGAGTCGGGGTTTCACCATGTTGGTCAGGCTGATGCCAAACTCCTGCCCTCAGGCGACTGGATTATTATTTCTGTACACATCCACCCCTTCTGCTCAAGCATAAACTCAGTGAGAAGGCAGGGGTGGTATCTCAGTCAGCTGCATTACCTCCTGCAGGACCTAGCACAGCACCTTCCACTTAGTATTTAAATAGTTAAGTGTGCCTTCTCCAGTCTTAAAGAACAGCACAATATAGAGCGTGAACATGGGGGTCTCACAAGAATGTGGATAAGTGAACACCTAAGTACACAGAACAATACTCAACCTCAGTTGTTCACAAAGAAATAAAAAGGAAACAAATAATGAGTCATTCTTTATGTCTCTGAGGGAAAAGCAAATTTAAATAATGACAATTTTTGATGCTGGTGTATACATGGTGAAATTGACACTCTCAGAGTTCTTTATACCTGAAGATAGTGTTAATGTTTTTAGTATGCAATTTGGCAGTAATGTTAAGAACCATCTAAAATGTTCAGCTGCTTGTCCTCACAACCCAACTTCTAGAAATTTTAATACTAAGCAAATAATCGAAGAGAAAGAAAGGGCTATATAAAAAACATGGGACCGGGTGCGGTGGCTCACGCCTGTAATCCCAGCACTTTGGGAGGTGGAGGCAGGCAGATCACTTGAGGCCAGGAGTTTGAGACCAGCCTGCCCAACACGGTGAAACCCTCTCTCTACTAAAAATACAAAAATTAGCCGGGCATCATGGCGCACACCTGTAATCCCAGCTACTCGGGTGGCTGAGGCACCAGAGCCTCTTGAGCCCGGGAGGCGGAGGTTGCAGACAGATCACACCACTACACTCCAGCCTGTGTGACAGGAATGAAACCCTGTCTCAAAAACAAACAACAACAACAACAAATTGTCAATTGTGTTTTTTTAAACAAAAAAAAAAACCATATAAACAACCTAAATCTACCCCTATCTAGCTTGCACTGGCACATTGCTAGTATTTTTGTTCCCCCTAAAACCGGCGGGGTTTTAAATTTTTGTTTCTTTAAATTTCAGCATTTTGGTCAACGTGGACAGGTTGTCAAAAGACCTAGATTCGAATAATCCTAACACTTAACCGGCCAGAACTGAGCAAATCACTCAACTTACTCGAGCTTCATTTTTCCTCGTTTGTAAAAAGGTCATCTTCTATGGCAATTATAAGAATCCTATTAATTTGTTCAACAAATATTTATTGAATACCTTATTTGTGCCAACTAGTCACCACAGAGAAAGAAATTAAACTCTTGCCCTTGAGTTTAGTTGGGGAAAGAGAAAGGCAGAGGAGACAGAGGACAAGTTCAGCAAGAAGTGGTAAGTGCTGTGATACAGGTAGGCACGGAGGAGTTGGCCAACCCAGACTACATGAAAAAGCAGAGCTTGTCAGAGAAGGTTCTCTGGAGGAAGTGATAGGTGAGCCGTGTCCTGGAGTGAGTCAGAGATGGGAGCCAGACGGGGGTAAGGTGCGATGGAAGTCAGGAGTAGGGTGGGGAAGGTGAGAGCAGATAAAGACAAGGGACCTGACAGATTGTGTCACTTTCCCAGAAGCAAGGTGGCTGCAGCATGGGTCTTTGCTGGATGTGGCAGAGTGGATCCAGGTGAGCATGGAATGTGATGTTTAACAATCTAATTATCCCGTTTAAGTCTTAAGACAGTCGTCTCTAAACGGAGGATAATAATAAGCCCTACCTCAAAACGTTGTTGGGAGGATGAAGTGAAATGAGCTAGCCGTCTGCGGAGAAAGGTTGCCCTTGGCTATGCCTGGCCGGCCAGGGGGCGTTTGGAGCAATTCTGTCTGCTGGGATCTGCTGCTATGGAAGATTTACAGGGGCAAAGACAACCGCATCGCCAAGGA